TGAAGAAAAAGAGATTGAAATGCCGGACCAGTGAACTGGGTTGAATCGAATGAAATCCGCAGGATATTCACCCCTTCGAGGTCATCGTGAGTACTGAACCGTCAGAAATACAGAATGCTGGGGCATTCCGGGTCACTCCTGCAGAGGGTTTCAAAACAACTTCCTTCGTTCTATCAGTCGCAAATGCTGGGGTTCTGGATTACGAAAATGATCAGGCGCGGGATATTAACGTCAAGGTGAGCCGCAGGGAAACTTTTCCGTCGATTTCCATGACGATATTTTACCAAAATTTGCATATTTCAGTTGATGGCGAGAACGATTGCGAATCATTCCATATATTCAGAATGCTTTTTATCGTTGTCGTTGAGGGACGCCAATGATCAAGTTCCGAACTTCGGCGAAATTGAATACGAGGCAAAAATCGCGGAGGACCAGCAAGCAAACGTTCCCTTCCTCACCGTTGCAGCAACGGATCTCGACACCGACGCTTTGTTTGGTCAAGAGTCGATTCGGTATATTGCATGCATTTTCTACTGCTTTTAAACTGTGCCAAGACAATTTGGCGTGTTCCAAAGCAGCGCTTCCGAAACCAGCTTGTTCAAAACGACCCATGCCTCCCTGAGTGTCATTAATAATCAATGAAAATAATTAGTGAATGTACGGAGCAGCGACAGAAAATTAACTATACGGGTGTCAAGGGAGATAAAAAATCTCCATTTTCGTTAAGGTTCATATTTTATTTACACAAGTAAGTTTACATTTTGGAACACGCGTTATTTGCAACACGTCCAAATGCCTTGGAATTACGTAGGGAAGCCATAAGAAAAGGATATGCAGTCAACTGAAATTCATTTCAAGCGGTATTTTGCGTACCTAGGTACTCGTTGCTCGGTGGTTCACAGTCCATGTACCTGTTCGGGATTGACGAAACCACCGGAGACATTTCTCACTAAGTTCTTTTACGGTAGCTAAAACTTTTTCCCGGGTCCTTTGTGCTCGATTGGGAAAAACGGGCCCTGCCGCGGCCTTTGCTGTGGGAGCTGTTTTAGTTAGTTCCTTTCCGCTTCTAGTGGTTCAATATTCAAAACGTCAACGACGAGCGACCGGAATTTGGCGAAGTGAGCATAATTAGTTACTTTCAGACATTAAAATTGAGTTAATGCTGCTAACTTTTTATAATCTAGGTGACGCAACGTGCAAATTTCACGGAGAATTCCGACTCCGTAGTCCTCGTGCAAAATCTGTTACTTTTCGTCACCGACTCGGATTACGAAGACGCGGAATTGGCTGCTGCTGATTTCACTTTCGAAATAAACTCTGCGGATTCATCGGCTTTCTTGAACAACGTTCCCGTCGGCGAGATTGATTTGAGCTCGTGGGTGACTCTTACAACCACCCGAAAGCATCATTTATTCAGAATTTCCCCGAGTTTCAGGTACTTCAAAGTGGAAGAAAAGGATGGTCAATATAACCTCGTCGTAGGTAACACACCATCAGACCGAGAGCTGTTCGACAGGGTTGATTTAAGTGTCGAAGTGACCGACAATGGCACAGACCCTAACCATAACGACGCACGAACAGCTTCCAGTAAGATATTTTTATACCCTCCAAGCATTTTTTTTTTTAAAAGAACTACACATTTTTATCATGAACACCTTTTTCAATGAAATGTTTGCCCAAAAATTTTGCGGGACATATACGAAAGAAAAGAAAATATTCTGGCATCAAACCAGGATATGAATATAGAACCAAAATTTTGCATTTCTAACCGTGGGAATTGCGCTGGAAATTTCTAAAATTGGCATCCTCAGGGCAGCAGTTATTTTCGGCGATAATATCGAGGTCTTTTACATCATCAGAAATATGGATAATGTCCTTCGAATCTCTATAGTGGATGGATTACTCTCTGATTTGGGGTTAGACCTGATGATGATACTTTCCCCTTTATGGTGCTGCCCCGAAATTTCTCCCTACGTGCAAAGTTTCACGAAGTGTTATGAAATTGACAGAAACACTGACATTCCGAATTCTGGATGAGAACGACTGCAAGCCCGAGATATTGATTTCCGGAGACAGCTTTTACATCACCGAAGAAACAATCGGGGAACGTGTGCTGTATTTCTCTGTGAAAGACACGGACGCGACTGCGCCAAACAACCAGGCCGAAGCAAGAATAGTGTAAGTTCCCTAAACTCTACTCTTGATGTGCAATATTTTTTTTAACGTGATTTTTACAAAATTCGTGGAGATTAAGGCATGTATTTTCGCAGCGGTTTTGAGTATGACGACTTAGTCAATCGTTCAAACGACGTGTCGCGGTTTTGAACATTTATTTGCGGAACCCATCGAGTCAGGATACAGCGACACATATTTCTAATAGCAACTTACATTTAAAATTGCACATTTGCTTCTCAGACTGAATTTTATAGCGAGTCTACCAGCTTGAGGCATAATTTAAAAGCACATATTGACCGGCTAAATAATTAAAATATTAAACGTGCTCTATTGCGATGGATATTTCCCCGTGCAGAAAATATCTGTAGGCCACATGTCGAAAGTAAATCCTTCTTTTAAATGTTCAAAAACCTGTTTTTCATTTAAAAAGTGGGGGTATTTTATCTTTTGTGAAGCCCTTGGCAGAAAAGCATCGAACGTGTTCGACGAGATTTGAAGTGTAATATTAAGTAGAATTGGTTAAAACTGCTTTCTTTCTTTCTCTGATGTGAGGTCCTCTTTATTTTATTCGAAAGTTCACATGGAACCTATTCAAAACTGGTATGTTCATTATACAATGCACCATGAACTCAACTCCAGATGAAACTTGGTATGAATCAACGTAAAATTGTCTCTATTTCGTCTACTGCAGCTGCAAGTGACATCTATGAATCACTCGCGACGAAAAAAGGTCGCCTTTGTCGTCATGAAATAAAAAATAAAATGCACGACGCAGATGAAATACTGTACATGTACAGTATATTTTGAAATCCACAGGGAATTTGTAGGCCGGTAGGCGTCCCAATTTCGAGAATAAAAATTTTAACTTTCCATATCTTTCTCCGCACCGACAGAGGAGATTTACAAAGCTATTTTACTGTCGATTGCCGCAACGACGGAAGAGACTGCGACGTTTTCGTGAAAGAGTCCTTTGATCGCGATAACGGACAAACGGAAGTGACACTTGAGCTGCAAGCTGTAGATCGAGGCTCGAACGCGTTGCAATCGGAAGTTTACCAGGTCGAATAGATTTCGCTTCATCTTTAATTTTCGAAGAATTCATATGCATATGATTGTCACAGGTGTCAATCAAACTCACCGATGCGAACGACAATGTGCCATATTTCGTGAATCTAGCATCTGGAGCAGGTCTGGAAATTGAGGAGAACGCCGAAATAGGGTCTTGGGTGCTGAACGTGACAGCTGCTGACCGTGACGAAGGTGTTTCAACACAATTTGCATTGATGGATTTCTGGGCATAATTCTGGAATTTCAATTTCAGGCATGAATGCGAAACTGTGCTTCTCCTGGGGAAGGAATCAGGACGACATGGTCCAGAAATCCTTCAGTCTCAACAAAGTAAGTGGTGAAATTTCGGTCAAAGACACTTTGGACAGAGAATCGTATCCCGGCCCGATCAGCATGGAAATCGTCATCTACGATGTTTGCGACGAAAGTTCTGACGGTTTCGGTTCGTATTTTTTGAAAGAACATTTATGACAAAAAGCTCTGAAAATTTTCAGCGACAATTTTTCCCTTGCTAGCCACCAATTCCAAGTACAACGACACCCAAATTTGGATTCAGTTGCTAGATGAAAACGACAACGCACCTGCACTTCCTGAATCGTCACCCTGTTTCTTCACCATCACAGAAACGGCCGCTTCCGTGAGTCAGTTCAAGAGATCAAACAATAATTTTTAAAAGACAGAGATTTTCAAACTGTCCTTCGAATCGGATCACTTACAAGTTACAACACACTCCAGCGTTTGAGCACCCTCCTGGGTATCAAATATTTAGTGCGGCTTTCACTCGAATACATCATAGATAATTTTCGAATTGCTGATGAAAACGTCACTGGTATTATCCCAAATGCGAAATCAAATTAAAAACTGTTTTCATTTTCACCTAAAGTATAAAAAAATGGTTATTTTTTCACTTTTCTACGTACATCCAAGTATTAAAACAAGTGGTAAAAGGATTAAACTTCCATGTAGACAGGACTTTGTACTCTTAGAATGTCGGGTTGATTATTAAAAAAATTCTCGATGCTTTTTCCGTGCTAAAATTTGAAAATTGATACCGCATTTACCCGAGTACCACGCGCACCTCTATTCTTCAAAAAAATTTGAGGAGAAATTATAGGTGCGCGACATGGTCAGGTACAAAATTCAAGAAACATTTTTAAGAATTGAAAACTTTTCTCCTGACGTTAATGCCTTTTCAGATTTCTCTATTTTGATATTAGTTTTATTTTTATCAAACACAACATCGCCATTGAAACCGATTTTGAACTGGGCTTGAATTTAGATTCTTACCCAACACGGCTTTTCAAATAGAAATTTTAGTAACTGCAAAACTAAGGTGCCGCAGAATAAGTTTCTATTTTTGCAATGGTTGTAAAATCGTTTTTTACAATCCACGCGCATCATGAGCTCATTTATGCCATTATGGAAAGTGGCTTTTTAATTCACACGCAGTCCTTCCCTAAATGACGAATATTTTTACATTATGAAAAGGAACATATGTGTAGTGCTGTACTTGTTAGCTTCTGTATGTCGCAATTTAAGCATTCCATTCATCAGGGATCATTTGCTCAAGGGATCCTCCAAGCAACAGATTCTGATCTGAAGCCAAATCATATCAAGTTGATGTATCGACTCGATCAAGTTTTACAAAGCGACGAGGTCATGGAAAACCATGGATTGCTTTTTGTTACTGAACCTGGCAGCGGTTTCAATCGAGGTCGAATGAAAATCGGCGAAGAATCGTGGGCGGGAAAAGTTGGAAAATATCGGGTTGACGTCACCGTAAGTTGGAACAAATGCATTCAAACGAAGGAACTGAATTTGAGACTGAAATTTTCGTAGGTCATGGACATGGATGGCGAACCCGGATACCTGAGTAGTACCGGAAGTTACGAGCTTTGCGTGCAGGACACGAACAATAATCTTCCTGAATTTATTGTGCCGGACCCCGAACACCGAGAATTTTGGATCCCAGAAGTACGTCACATTAATCAACACCCTGCTTCGAAATATAAACTAACTGATTCGTCATAAAATACTGTATCCCCTTTTTAGGACTATGAGCCCAATCCGCAAAACGCTATCATCGACCCGATAAGTGGAGACTCGATTATCTTCCGTGCTAATGATGCTGACGATGACCCGGATGAAATCGAGTTTTTCCTCATGCCAACTGAAGATAATGACGGTAAATACGATCCATGACTAAATGGTCATAAATCAATTCCCGACCTCGAGGATCAATCTCCGCAAGTCGGCGATTTCTTGACGATTTCACTTTTCTGCAGGAACTTTTGGCATCGTCACAAGCCCTGAAAAATTTGAAGGAAAAGTCGTGCTTCTGAAAAACCTCGATCGATCTCAAAAGGCTCAATACACTGTGAGCAATACTTTTTTTATTTAGAAAAAAGGGTAATTTGGTTTCCGTGTGTAGTTGGAAAACTACTCATCTATTTAAAAAATTAATTTGAATTCTGCAAAAAATGTCTGCATCATTCCTGGCCCCTGCAGCAAAACATTGACCTCGTATAAAATTGTAAAACGGCATACTTTTAATGTGAGACATACAGTTGGAGCAAGAAATGAAATGTTGTACCATCGTCATGGTATTATCTGGTTTTCGCGTTATCGCAGAAGTCGACGGATATTTTTGCACGAGATGGCCAAAGCGAAATGTTTTGAACAGTTTATCGAATCATGAACATGTTCTTGAAAAAATTTGCTTCTTAATTTGTACCTACCTTCCCGTAAGAATCAGACGTCCCTCACACTTATTTGAAAGAACGCTTATATTTCTAGGACTGTACTGTCCAGAAAAAACAAAATCAGCTCGTTTGACATCAGTCCTATTCATAATTCCTTCATGTTCACATAGCTGGTTATTCAAGCTCTGGATAAAGAGCCAGATCCGATCCCAGCCGATCGGGTTCCCAACAATATCACGTTGATTTTCAACATCGAGGATATCGATGAGTTTCCGCCGACATTTGACGAAACTCTCGGAGCAGATGGACAACGACAAAGCTTCGGCGTTTCTGAAAATGATGCTGATTTCACGATTTTGGCAAACCGAGCCGTGGATCCGGATGGCGAAAACCTGCCAATATTCTACCACATCGTTGGTGAGTTTTCCGTGCTGATGCAATAATGATGTATGAATGAGTTGCATATTTTTTGAGAATATGAATTACCCTGATTTCAAGATCCACTTTCTACACAATTTTCCTCAAAAATAGAGATTGAATCAATTTGAAGGAACACACGTTTTTGGAATAAAACGTACATTTTAGCACTTTGGCGCATTTGAGACACCACGGATTTAGAGAAGGACCCTTTAATTTTTCTTTTGAGTCAAAAAATTATCGCATATTCGCGAAGAATCCGAGGGTTTCTTGATTTTAGTTGCATTCAATTCGCCGCCGGAAAAGCCAGCATAAACAGAACAAACGAATGACTTCGAAATTCCATTTTTTTCAAAGGAGGAAATGCGGAATATTTTTCGATCGAAAAGAAAACAGGACGCCTTTCATTGCCGCAAGCACTAGACAGGGAAACGGTGGAGAGTCTCACTCTCGTCGTTCGGGTAACCAAAGAAGAGGAATATTCAGGAATTAATGAGCCCTTTGACGAAACAGACAAAGCTCTGCTCGAAATCAGTGTGACGGTAACGTGTTGCCAATCCCTGTGAAATTTATGCACATATTTTTTCGATTTTCGGAAAATTCCAGGTGAATGACGTCAACGATAATCCGGCGAAATTCCTCAGAAAGCGATTCTCGGGTGCCATTTCATCAAGCACGAAGGCTGATACGGGGATTGTTCGTATCTCGGTGAGTTTTTCAACGTGAACACGTTACAGACTGTGTATGATGTCGATTTTTGCACCTCAGATCTTATAAAATTATTGTCATCACGGCTTCCTTCGACTAGAACTGGTACTTTTTTTTATGGGGAACCGAGGAAATACAACCTACCTAGAGATAAGAGGCTTATCTTCTCCTCACGATTAAAAAAAACAATGGTATTTACATGAATTTTCAAAGTCAGTAGCACGTCTGTATTTTTGTTTGCATTTCGATTTCGATCATCGAATTACTGTGCATTTCAACTTGCCAGATAGGCTAGCTATACTGGGGGGAAAAAATGGAATCACTCAGATTGGGAGTTATTGAAGATTCAACGCAATCAGTAAGGGAGAACAGTTCGCATTTTCTTTCATTTCGATATCACCCGAAGGATCAAAGATTCGACCACCCAATCCAGCAAAGTTTGACCCCGTCTTGCAGGTTTCAAAGCATAAGTGATTAGAGCATTCATTGCTGAATTCATAACCATCTTGTATATTTCACATAGCAAAAAAGTATTGTTCTGATCCATCAAAAATGCCATGGAGAAGATCTAGAACCGGGTATCCGTTCCATTTCAGTTTGAATATTTGTTCACTCTTAACAATCACCAATAATGAAGAACGAGATAAAGGAGATGTCGCATCATTTCAGTCGGTCAAAATATGCATCCATCCTTTTTTCAAATCTTTATTGCAGCCTGAGGAAGCAAAATAATTCAAGAAGGTTGGGAGTAAAATGAAAATGAGTCCCAAAAGAGATAAATGTAAATTACAAATGATTTAAGTGGATCGACCAGCATACTTTTCCGTAAGCGAACGCATTCAGTCAATTGATTATAAAGGTGTGTGTCCTATTTCTGAAATAAATACAAGAAAACACTTAAGTTTTCAGCGCTGGTATAGGTGTCGCTGCTGCATCAAGTTCACTATCACTCGCCGTTGTACACCTTCTCTGCTTTCCATTCCTTAATCCAGGCTGTGGATCCCGATATGAATCCAGAAGTCACATTCGCAATAACTGGCTTCGAAGCTCTTGACCCAACTCTATCATCTTTGTCAATGTCGAACTTTTACTTGACGTTCACAACGGAACCTATGTCAGCGTTCATCACACTGAACTTCAAGCCGGATTCGAGGATGAAGGGTTCCATGACGCTCCTGTTGACCGTGCATGACGAAAATAATGGTGGCCAGGATGTCGTGGACACCGCTGAGGCCCTAATTACTGTCGTTCCGGAAGCGGAACAAGTGGAATTCACGTTCCTCAATGACAGGAAAATCGTGGATGCAATTGCTGAAGATCTGCTCGAGACAGTGTTTCAGCCGATCATTGCGGATCCTCTGAATGCGATAGCCACCATTGATGACATCAGCGAGACAGCTGGCCGAGCGGAAATGAATTTCACGTCTGTCAGGACCCATTTTGAAAGGGGAACCATAATCGTCTCACGGAGTGAGGTCATGGAGTGAGTCTTATTTTCAAAGCAGCTCTCAAATATGTATTACACGAACGGGGTCTAACAAAAGTTCTTGGGATGATAGAAATCAAAAAAGAATTTTATTGAGCTGAAAAAAACAATAATTTTTAAAAACAAAATTCTTTGACTCACGAAAAAAAAATCCCTGTTCGACATATTTTTGTCTTTATTCTTGCAGAACTCACCCTGGCAGCTTTCTGCTCTTCCCTCATAAGAGGAGGTGTCAATCTCCCAACTTTTTGTTGTTGTAACCCAGCTTTTCCTTCAGGATTTTTGCGATTAACATGACAATAATACCAAGGTTTGCCTCCGAAGTAAATACGCCATTTTTATCAACAGCCGCCTTCACAACTGCCACATTATCATCCCAAATGGCGGCTTTGATGGCGGCTGTTAATGAAAATTGCGAAATAAATAATCAATTTATAGTGGCAACCCTTAATGGAATTAATGCCCATGTCAATAATTTCAAGAATTCTGAAGAAACAGCTGGAGAACACCAAAAATCTGCATGATGGGCACTTCATCTTTTGCGTGAAGATCAGAAAGCTGCCAGGGTTGCCTTTTGCAAATAAATCCCAAAAAAATCTACTGGACCGAGAAATTTCAGTGCAGTATTTACAAAAAGGGTGTTACTTCTTTACAGCTTGCTGGCGTCACCAGCAGTAAATTACGACTTGCTTCTGGCATGTCGTAATCTTGACCTCGACTTCAGGACTGTGGAAAAAGCAATAGGACCAGCTGTCGACGATAAAATCGACAGAAACGTGTTCTTTACTGTGGCTGGCATTGCAGGCGGTTTATTCATCATGGTGGTAGTCATAGGCTCTTTATATTTCCGTCATACGAGCAAGTAAGTATTCACAACACCCAAAAAAAAAAAGGACAGTGAGAAATTTTGGAATGACATTTTGATTCCAGCTTGAAGAGGAAACTGAAGGCAGTATCAGTTTCTACTGTCGATGCAAATTCGCCTGAATTCCAACAAATCGCATTGGAAGTACCCAACACAAATAAGAATGCTTTGGAAGGCTCGAACCCACTTCATGAGTACGATGAAAGCATGTTCCAGGGAGACGATTTCAGGTGACAGCAGATAGCATTCATATAGTGGGAATAACTCATCAACGACGATAATCACTTCTGAAATTTTCTTTCTTTCATAAAGCATGGGAAGTGGAGACTCAATTTTGATCGGAGTGGAAAATATTCCGGAATTTAACGTCGCAAGCAGCATTAGCGAGCAGAAACAAGCGAAAAAGAGGAAAGCCCCTCCAGTTCCAACAGCGGCATCTGTTGGGATCATAAACCCGGCCTTTGACCTGCATTCGTTCCCGAGTTTCGAAAATGGCGAGCTTTCTGACGATGACCCGTTCGGGTCAACCAAAGAACGCGTGAACCCGGCCTTCGGTGCCCTCGACGACCTGCCAAGCGATTTTACGTTTGGTCCCCCGAATCTGAAGTGATCCGCGACTGCTAGCTTTCCTTCATCATTAAGCAGTCAATCCGTTTCATTTCTTTCAACAATCGTGATCGAGTCAGAGTGAATGAAATTGTGTGTGTGCTTTATTTCAAAGCCGAGAATACATGATATTTTCCATCTCACCAGTATCTGATTTTTTGGAAAAAGGACGGGCGAATGGGAGAATATTCGGGTGCATGACTTTATAGGAGAATACTGTATTAACCCAAGACCAACCAGCAAATGCCATATTTGCGTTCTTCCTTTGAGGTAAAATTGTAATTCAGGGATACACCAGTACTTACTGTATATTCGTCGTGCTGCAACAGGTGTATGATAACTATTGCTTTTAAAACTAAGCAGAAACTGAACGTTCACCTAACTTTACACAGCTAGCTTCAATACCTGAAATTTAAATACTGTGTACTGCATTTTCAAGAACATTAGTGCGTCACCAAAATAAAAGAACATCTTGAATCCTTTCTGATTTCAAGTGCTGAAAAACGACGTAAAGACGAATCTCGGATAGGACATTTTCGAATCCTCGATGGGCGGAAAAATAAAACACGCATCCCGGAATGATGATTTAAAAGAATTAGTTACGTAAAAACAAAATGTCGGTGGTTAACCCCTATGTTCAGACTGAAAAATCATTCAGGGGGAAGATATATCGTATTATGATCCACGGCACCCTGCGCTTATTCGCGAGTAAAAAATTGCACCATGGTCCCCCTTTTTACTCGCGAATAAGCGCACCCTGCGCCTATCCGCGAGTGATTCCGTTTTCTATTTCTCCGTAATGCTAAAACACACTCGCGAATAAGCGCAGGTGCGCTTATCCGCGAGTGAAAAGCAGCCGTTGTACCAGCACTTGCAAACAGATTCTTCATCGGAATTTCGGGAAAAATTCCTTCTAATCATGAGCTGGCCGATTTTCTACCTTCTTGAGCAAATTTTATTCTCAAACATCGATTCTGAAAGCCATTTCATCGCAAAAACACATGGAAAACATGCATACAACTGATCGGCAGTAACATTTCGGGGCCTAATTTTTTTAAGTTTTCGGGATTGTTGGATAAATCAATGCCATAGGGAATAGGAAGAAAATTCAGCGCCTTAAATGGGAAATCAAGCGTATTTCATCCACGAAGTTCGATCTAGAAAGCAACCTTGTATCTGCTGCGGGATACAGAGAAAAAATCCCATTTTATTGCCTGTTCTTGGCTGATTTTCGAAGGATTTTGGATTTTCACAGGAAACACATTGCCGAAATCCAATCGAGACCATTAAACTCTGAAAAATCGGATTCAAAAATCCGTCCTGCCGAAAGACAAACTCATCGCCAAAACTCTAGGGAAATTTACTCTTTAGCAACAGGCAGGTCATTTTAATTCTCTTCAGGGAACTTTCCGCCTCAATTTTTGAGAAGGAAAATGACTTTGCCGCAAAATCTGATGCGAAGCATCCGTTCCATTGACCAGCAGACCAATTCGTCGACAGCAAGCCGATGGTTTCCTCGAATTCTTCACAGCTTATGGACATTCTTCCTTTCAATATAATTGGGATGAGTATATTTGCCCAAAATAAATATCAGGCGCGGTCTTCTTCATCGACCAGATGGCTAATTCATTGCAAAAATTCGCCAGAAGCATCAGTTCATAGACCGGTGTGCAAAGTCATCGCGGAAATCCGCGCTGCGCATCCGTTCGTTCGACTTTCTGACAAATTCGTAGCAAGAATCTGAGGAAAACCTTATTTCGAATCAACGGCTGTTCAAAATTTTCGACATTCGCAGCGATTCTCCTCTCAACCGTTGAGCTGAGAAGCAAATCCTTGCGAAAATCATCTCGCGCTGCGCAACCGTTCGTTCGACTTTCTGACAAATTCGTAGCAAGAATCTGAGGAAAACCTTATTTCGAATCAATGGCTGTTCAAAATTTTCGACATTCACAGCGATTCTCCTCTCAACCGTTGAGCTGAGAAGCAAATCCTTGCGAAAATCATCACACAGCATCCGTTTCAGCGGCAAGTCGACAAATTCATCGCAGAAATCCACGCTGCGCATCCGTTTTTCCGTCTCGAGGTCAAATTCATCGCCAGAATCTGCGAGGAACTTCCTCTCGGGCAGCGGATTGGACAATTTCATCGCCATTCAGAGGATTTCTTGCCGCAATCGTCGTGCTGAAGGAAAAATCCTCGCAAAAATCACCTTGTGACATCCGTTTCAGCGTTCGGGTGGCAAATTCATCGCAGAAATCCAAGCTGCGCATCCGTTCAGCCGACATTCGGACAAATTCATCGCCAAAATCCACGGGGAACTTCCTCTCGAGTAGCGGAGTGGTCGATTTCATCACCATTCAGAGGATTTCTTGCCTCAATCGATGCGCTGACGGAAAAATTCTCGCAAAAATCTCCTTATGACATCCGTTTCGGCGTTCGGGTGGCAAATTCATCGCAGAAAGCCAAGCTGCGCATCCACTTTTGCGACTTGTTGACAAATTCATCGCCAGAATCTGCGAGAAACTTCCTCTTGGGCAGTATGCTGCGCCCGAATTCCCGTAAGGGATGGCAAATTCATCGCGAAAGCCCATGCCACACATCCGTTTTGCTGACCATTGGACAAATTCGTCGCCACTTGAGCAGTAGAATGTGCAATTTCTTCGCCACATCGAGGATTTATCGCCTCGATGTAGAACTGCTGGGAAAATTCGTCGCGGAAATCCATGCTGGACATCCGTTTGACTGACGGTTTGGACAAATTCATCGCCTGAATCCGGGAAAAATTTCCTCTCGGACATTTCGCCCGTCAATTTCCTCGTTCTTCTTTTATCTTTCGCCCTAATTGTTGAATTGAACAACAAATCGTTGCAAAAATTAAAGAACCGCATTCGTTTCACCACGCGCATGGTCAAAATATTTTTCTTCAAAATAGGGATTATGTCTTTTTCCATTATGAGTACCCCTCACTCGCGAATAGGTGCAGGTGCGCTTATCCGCGAGTGAAATTTAACATGATGCAGAACGAAAAAAAATTTCCTTTCGCGAATAAGCGCAGGGTGCGCTTATACGCGAGCAAAAAATTGCACCATGTCCAAATTTTACTCGCGAATAAGCGCACCCTGCGCTTATTCGCGAAAGGAAATTTTTTTTCGTTCTCCGTAAAATGTTAAATTTTACTCACGGATAAGCGCACCCTGCGCCTATACCTGAGTGTGTGAGTGACTCTTGGCTCTTCATTACAAGAAAAATCGCGAAATACGGATGGTTTTAGTTGTATTAATGGATTTTTTCTGGTGAGGTTTCAGCAGAATAATTTTATTCAAAAATTCGGCGAAGATGCAGAAGCTCCAGTATTTTTTTCTCCGACTCAGTCCTATTTGGACGAGCCTGCACTTTCTTGCATTATTTCGAATGTCGATTTAAAATGAAGGCATAGTTTGTTTAGAAAAATTAAGTAGCTCTTATTTCATAGCTGAAGTTACAGAATTTTTCTCTTCTTACCGTTGATTTTCGTGCCAGAAGCACGAACTAATTCTGACCTTAAACAATTTTTATTGCCCACTAGCCACTGCATAAAATTCTAATTTATTTATGTTTCTGCTCTGCTTATTTTCAACCTGCTACAGAGCCCCTAGGAAAATGCAGTTTCAGCTTTCAGGGCTCTCCGGAGCGCCCAGGTTATTTAGAATTCATAGTTGTGATGGTATTTCCTCATTCAAGAAATAAAAAGCACATTTTGAAGCAAGCCGCTCTTTTATTGCGAAACCATGATATATCTAAGCGTACGAGGAGAGTTCCATTACAACTGCAAATCTCGTTCCTGACACACGCAATGTCAATGATAATCTAACCAACTACAGTACTTCGAAAATTTTCAGTAGGACGTAAAAAGAAAATGTCGGAGGTTAAACACTATTCTCAGACAGAAAAATCATTCAGGAAAAAACACTGTATGATGATCCGCGGCAACCTGCGCTTATTCGCGAGTAAATAACTGTAGGAGGTAACATGGTAAAAATATTTACTCGCGAATAAGCGCACCCTGCGCCTATCCGCGAGTGATTCCGTTCTCTAGTTCTCCGTAATGCTAAAAAATCACTCGCGAATAAGTGCAGGCGGTGCGCTTATCCGCGAGTGGTTTTGTACCATTATACGAAGAACTAAATTTTTGTTTACTCGCGAATAAGCGCAGGGTCCAAAAATCTCCAAAATCTTTGAAAAAAAAAGGCCCCTCTCTTTGACTGCCGATCAGTAGCGCTTATGCTCTTGATAAGCTTTTGCGATGACATTATTTTCATCATCAATATTTGAGACGACAATTCGTTCAAGAAGGAAGAAAATTGGCCAGCGCATGCTTACAAGGAATTTTTTCCAGATTACGATGAAGAATTTGTTTGCAAGTGATACAACGGACGCTTGTCAGTCGCAGTGATCTTTTACCATCATGGAGAGCTAAATTTTTTTAATCGCAAATATGCGCAGGTGCGCAAATCCGTGAATGATTTTTCGCCATTATATTCGGAGAACTAAAACACTTATTTAGTTATCCGTGATGATAAAAAAAATCTCTGCGAGTGACCAGTGCCAGTTGCATAACTTGCATTGATATCGTAGTCTCGGAAGAAATCCCTTATAATCATGATCTGGCCAATTTTTTTCCTTATTGAGCAAATTTTCGTCCCAAACATTGATGCTGAGAGCCATTTCATCACCTATTAAAAGCATTTACGCTCAACTGATGGGCAGCAGTCAAATTTCGGGGCCACATTTTTTCACAGTTTCTGGGGATTGTTGGATAAATCAATGCCAATGCGTTCCGTTATAGCCAATGGAAAGCGCCTGAAATAGGAAATCAAGCGCGTATTTCATTCACAAAGTTCGATCCAGACAGCCACCTTGTATCTTCGGGATAAAGAAAAAAATTCCCATTTTATCGCCAGTTCTAGGATGACTTTCCGAGGGAATTTGGAGTTTCACAAGAAATTCATCACCAAAATCCCATCAAGACCAATAAATTCTGAAAATTCAATTCGTAGAAGAGAATGAAAGAAAAATTCATCGCCAAACCTCCTGGAACTTTTCCCTCAGCAATAGGCAGGTCATTTTACTTCTCTTCAGGGAATTGTCCACCTCAATTTTTGAA